TTGAACATCATCCAGCTGTGAAGCAAGACATTTATTCTTCCTTTATTTCTTAACCAAAAAAACAAACAAAACATGCATGATATCAAATACTCACAATAACTTTGAGGTGGAAAATTTTAAATATTGCAATGGTTTTAATACACTTTTTATTAGGCCATTTAATACGCTTTAGTAACCCTAAAGACAGCTTCATAATCTAACGGATATAGAGATGTCTCAATAGTATTTTATCAATCAAATAGTCAAATATTTAGTCTTTTATTACCATTTATCACTCAAAATTACTCATGCAACTTCCTTTGCAGAATGTCTTATCTATTACAATGTTTTAGTAAATAAAAAAAAACAGTATGAAATGAAATTATTGCTCTTTATATATTGTCATATTTGCATTTTAGCTACCAGCCCTATAGACAGCCAATATCTGTTGATTTAACAAGAACCTGAAGTCACTGAGGCTTTTCCTGTAATCCCTTCCCAACTTCCTGTATGTCATGTCCACTGAACTTCCTGTCTGTGTACACACTGAAACCAGCATCCAGTGAATGGCTTCAACCCTCTGAAGGTTAGATAGATTTCTACTATTACTACAGGACAGCAAAAAGCATCAGATGCAACAATTCTGCTTTCTGGAATATTCTGTCAGAATAAAGATCAGTACTTAAGACATATTCACTATGAGTTTGAAACATTGCACACTGATAATAACATAGGTGATAGGTGGAAGTGGTGGTCAACTCACATTGCAAGTCAAAAGTCGAGTACAAACTTTCTTTCTCTCGGGGTCCAACACACCACAGTGCTTGTCAAGGTCACATTCTTTTTCTGTGGAAAAACGAGAAAAGCATGTTATCATCAAAAACATAACATACTGGGTAGATTATACACATTACTACATGTATGAAACCTCAGAAACCAAGAAAGTCATAAAATAAAATTCAATAATATTATGTCTTAAAAATAGTTAACAACTATTATATACTACATACACACACATACATACATATATATATATATATATATATTTATTTATATGTGTGTGTGTGTGTGTATGCGTGTAAACAAATTATTGAATAATCTGTATACATAAGAATGGCATATTATGAAAAACTGATCTGGATCTAATGCAAATGTAGTCTAATGTTGATTATCAAATCTAAACTGCATAATATATAGGTTTAGTTTGGAGCAATGGATATGAAGGGCCTCAGTAATGACTTACTGGAGACCATTTTGTACGTCCTCGACCCACGGAGGTGTCCAGAGGCGACAGGGGGCGAGGCAGCCTCGCCTCTTTGGGATTGAGGCCTTTCGGTTGAGGAAGGCCGATTGGGTGACGGGCCTCCATGTGGCCATGGGGGGTCTCTCTGAGTAGGGGAAGGGGAGCTCCGCGTGGGTTCGATGAGAGGGGGCTGCTTAAAAACAGCTGATTCTGAATGACCCGAGTTTGAAGGTGAGTGCCTGGTGGGTGGAAAGATCATCATATATAAATTATATATATATTGTATATGATTCTAATAACCACAGATTACAACATCCAGCATCATATTTGCTGAATGAATACTTGTTTTTTACTAATTTTGAGGTGCGGATTCCAAAAATGGTGCCCGTTTTGATGTAGCACATCATACTTTCTCATAAAATACAATGCATTTTGTAGCTTTGTTTCTGCTTCCGACAACCATTTGCTAAGTGAAGAAGTCTTGTATTGTCACTTGATCACCAGAAAAACTGCCATAAAGACATGATTCCGGTCTTCATCTAAGCCAGGTTACAACTAAAAATATAACAAAAACTTGTCTACAGAATCAAAATCATCTAAGAATTGAACAAATCAATTATCATCCGATTTTCATATGTATGAATGATTCTAAAGACATTTTATGCCTAATCCTATTTTTCCAGATTGTAAGTGCAAGGACACATTTTAAATACCTCTTTTTGTCATTAAAATGTTTTGAACTTTTGACATTTTACCACTTTTGTTATTTTGATGAGTGAAAAAAAATGTGAACATCAATTTAGGTAAAATTAGGCCTTTTTTGCAAATGAGCAGATTTTTTTTTAAGATGCAGGGCTGTGTTAGAACACATTAGACCCTCTTTTAACATGAACAAACAAGATCAGATTAGTAAATCTTACCAAACTCCATCTTTCGGAGGTTTCGTGTGTCTGAACTGAGGCGGTGTTGAGGGAGATTGCGGAGATGCCCACAGCGGCCCGACATTCTGGTTCCTGCCACTCCAAGAGGAGGCTCCGTGGGAAGGCGGGGTGTGTCCATGACGGGATCTATGCTGCTGAGGTGGAGGTGGGGTGGAGCGGAGGTGTGCATAGAGCTTACCCAGAGGGCCGTGCCTCCTCTCGCAATGCTTCTCGAACGCCTGAGGCTTCACCACCTGACTGCAATGGCCACAAACCACCAAATAGAAGTCATCGTGCCCAGGAAAATGACCGAAGATGGACATATCTACAAAAGCATACCAAATAATAGGGACAAATTAGCTTTGTTCGAAAAGTAAAACTAGAGGAAATGTTTTTAAACAGTAATTTTCTCCAAAGAGAAATTAATTTTGTGTGTTGAAGCTTCCTGTTTGAAAACTCAAATGTTTCTAAACATGTTTAAGTAGTTCCTACTAGTGGCAGTCCAATATTTACCTGAATTCAGCCTATGACACTGAAATAATAGCTCTGTTCAACTTAATGTGCCTTTTTTATTAACTTTCAGAAGATGAATTTCACAAAAGAACATGTTTATTATTCATTGATAAGGCTGTTTATAAAAGCTGGACCTGACAGGAGGAACCACTGTGTTTTTAATGTCAAAAAAATCTCAAAACAGCCAAACACCGGCCAATTAATCGGCTTATATATCAGTTCATCACTAAATGGGTTCATGTTAATACCGCAGTGTCCCCTTGAAATCAAAGTAAAGTACATAACCCCTACCCTCTTTCCTCAGTGTCATGGTTTCCGTTGTTGTTTTGCCATTCTTGCTGTATTCATCTCCATTGGACCCTATGAAAAATGTTTGGAGGTAGTTTATGTTAGAAAGGGTACATGACCATTATAAAATAACAGACTTCCATGCATTATCGTTAATGACTTAGCAACACAGCACATATGGGCATCTTATGTAAACGCTACATTCTAAACCCACTTAATTCAATGGGCCGTAACCATAGAAACATTGAGAAGGACATGTGCCCTCCAAAAATCAGACCTATAATGGGTTCTTTTATGCTGAACTATATTTGGTCCAGAATATGTGGTTACTTTCTTGAATGCAATGTATTGAGTCAAAACTGTGAGAAAAGGGACCAACATTGATTTATGCATACAAAATCACTTTCACAGACTTTTTCATTAACTGTTCCCTCCTAGTGGAATGACCTGCCCAAATCAATCCGAGCAGCTGAGTCCTTAACCATCTTCAAGAAACGACTAAAAACACATCTGTTCCACCTTTATTTGACCCTCTAACTCTAGCACTTTCTATTCTATTTTAATTCTACTTTATCTTCT